TTTTAAGGCTCAAGGGAAAAACTACCTACAGTAGTCTCCCCCTTATCCATGTGAGTTTCAGTCAAGTACTGCCCGAAAATATTTTGAGATCACACTCGTTTAACATTTGTAACAGTATGTTGTTTATAACTGTTGTTATTGTTATTACATGTCTTACTGTGTCTCATTTACAAATTAAAATTTATCATAAAGAACAAAAACTGGGCCTCCCTGGTGGCGCAGTGGATTGAGCACTCCACTATGAAGCTGTCCGCAGTCTCTGCGGCGCAGGTTCGATTCCCGGCCTGCCAGGGAGAGACCCACATGGCGCAGCAGATCTCTCCTGTCTCACCCGTTGCTCCCGTGAGCAGTGTTTTCAGTCGTATGCCTGTTCTGCTCCCTGCTCTGTCTCTGGTAAATCCTCTCATTCTCCCATACCTCTGGCCTGTACCCCAGTATAAATAAATAAATCTTTAAAAAAAAAAAAAAAAAATATATATATATATATATATATATATACACACAGGATTTTGGTACTAGCCTCAGTTTCAGGTATCCACTGAGGAAGCCCTGGAACATATCCCCCAAGGAAAAACAGAGAGTTACTGCTTAGATAATAGACCTACTGTACTATTGTCTGCCATTACCTTACTGACATTTACTAAGTCAAACTGGTAGCCCTGGTTGAATTATCTGTTACCTTATTCTTACTTCTAGGATCAATTTTCACATAGACACATTCCTTAAAATGCAGCACAGTAATTAAAATAGTAGGAAAAAATGAAGCAAAGGTGGGCTATGTAGGCTACCAAGGTGGTACTGTAAAATAAGATTAATAATGCCTTCTTCCACTAATTCATTATTTCACATCTTGATAAACTATTTGACGCTTATACTTTATAGCTATGAGCTAGGACATGAGTTTTGTTATATTCTACTCGACACTGCAGCTCTCACAGGGCTATTAGTAATTCCCACAGACTTCTGAGTCTTTGGCATTCATCTTTGCATCCATAATACGCGTGTACCAGATACACAGTTTTCTAGGAAAAAGGGGATTAATGGTATATGCCGGCAAATATGATAGTCCATACTCAGGTCCTATATAATTAGCTAATCAGAAAAAGCCTGCATAACTGAAAATGCAAGATACAAAGAGATCCTTTACAAACAACCTGTTATTTAAAAGCAGCAAAAAAAAAAAAAAAAAGCATCCCACAGACAACATGTCAGTACACTTTTTTGTAATAATTTTTTTATTTGTATCTTGTGACAAGATTTGACTCTTGAACCTCTGAACTCTTTTAACTTTCCTGGCTCTTTCAAAGCTCTAATTCCAGAAATGAAAGATTCAGAATCTAACATTTTCAATTCACTGCCAATACATACCCTGAGTCAAGATAAATAGAACACTGGAACCGGAAAAATGTTTTTTTGTTTGCCTGTTTTGTTTTTAATGGTTTTATATATTTATTTTTGCAAAGAAGAAGTGATGTGTAGGCCAAAGGTGGGGGGATGGAGGGGGTGAGAGGATTCACCAGAGACAGAGTAGAGGGCAGAACAGGTGGATCTATTGAAATACACTGTTGAGGGCCTCCCTGGTGGCACAAGGGGTTAAGACGCAAGCTATGAAGCTGTCCGCAGTCACTGAAGCATGAGTTCGATCCCCAGCCTGCCAGGGAGCAACCCACATGGCACGGCAGACCTCTCCTGTCTTGCCCGCTGCTCCCCTCAGCAGTGTACTTCAGTCAGTCTGCCTGTTCTGTTCCCCACTCTGTCTCTGGTGCATCCTCTCACCCCCCACACCTCTGGTCTATACCCCTGCTCTTGTATACATAAATAAATAAATCTTAAAAAAAAAAATACACCGTTGAGGGAAGCAGCAGATGAGACAGGAGAGGTCTGCCACACCATGTGGGTTAGCTCCCTGGCTAGGGATGGAACTCACGCAGTCACAGTGGGCCATTTTGTGGTAGCACTGAGACTTAACCCCTAGGCCACCAGGGAGGCCCAGGAAATATTTTTTTTAAAAATTAAGAATGCGGACCTCCCCGGTGGTGGCGCAGCGGTTGAGTGCTGGGCTGCGAAGCTGCCCGCAGCCTCTGCAGCGCTGGTTCGCTCTCTGGCCGCTGGCGAGGGTCCCACATGGTGCGCAGACCTCTCCTGCCGCGCCCGCTGCTCCCCTCAGCAGTGTATTTCATCAATCTGTTCTGCTCCCGGCTCTGGCTCTAGTAAATTCTCTCACCCTTCCGCACTTCTGACTGTACCCAGTGCTTGTGTAAATAAATAAATCTTAAAAAAAAAAAAAAAAAAAAAGTTAAGAATGCCACTCTCTCCTGGTGCAGGTTGAGAAACACTCATAATCCTAGAAACAACTGGAGGTTTGTTTTCAAGTTACCTCAATTTTTGAATCAAAGAAATTCAGAAAACCGATAGGGATGAATACTTAACACAGCAATAAAACTATAATTAAATCTGCAACAAAAAGCTTTTACCTATGACTTGCATGGCCCATTCTGTCCCTCACAGGATCTAACTGTTGTAGCAGCTCATATACAATAGGGACAACGGGTTCTTAAATAGTCTTAATAACCTAATATTCGCCAACACAAAATCTATTTATCTGGCAACAAATTTGATGTCAAAAAGCACCCAACTATTAGTTATGTGCTCTTTCCTAAAACAATTAAAGCAACAAAATTATTTTTATTTTTTTTAATGTATGTATGATATTCCTTTGTGTGTTCTAATAATTTTTTTTAAAGATTCTTTTTTTTTTTTTAAGATTTATTTATTTATTTATACAAGCACTGGGTACAGTCAGAAGCGCGGGAGGGTGAGAGAATTCACCAGAGTCAGAGCGGGGAGCAGAGCAGGCAGAAGGACTGAGGTACACTGCTGAGGGGAGCAGCGGGCGGCAGGAGAGGTCTGCACACCATGTGGGATCCTCCTCCAGTGGCCGGGGAGCAGCCGGGGATCGAACCGACGCTGCAGAGGCTGCGGGCAGCTTCGCAACCCAGCGCTCAACCGCTGCACCACCGGGGAGGCCCAACAAGATTATTTTTAAAGGGTTCAGGAGGCCCAAGAAAAGTTTTCTCTTCACCAACAACTGCATGTTATCTAAATTCCATTTCTACCCCGTCAATTTTCCTCAGTTAAATACCAGAAATACATTAGTCTATTTCCCTTCTCTTTCTATTCTCCTTAGGTATATGAAAATGTTTTTGTAGATATGGCTTGATATCACAAACCAGAATACCAAAGAGTCTACCAAAGTGTTATATTGATATTATGACAAAGGTAACAATTCTCTCTAGCATTTATTTAAATCAGAATTTCTTGCCTACAAGAAAAAGAACACATATGGAGAATAGACTGAAACATCAGGAAATAAGTATATTTTACTGTGATATGATCAGGCATTATTACACACTTTACTTCTGTTATCACAATGACATCACACAATTGTGTCCTAAACACATTTTAGAGATGAGGTCAAAACAGAGGTTTAGTGAGAGTAAAGTGCCCAATGTTACAGTTAGTAAATATTCCAGACCCCCCCTCAAACCAGAGTCAAGCCAAGCTTTTCTGCTTTAGAATTCTTTCCCAACTCACTGCCACTTCCATTACTAATGCCAAGTACCATTTGTAAATTCTCCAGAAATTACTACATGGAGACAGATTTAGATCGCAAGAGCAGAAGCACTGAATGATCTCAAATATCTTGGTCTCAGGTCCCCTTTACACTCTTAAAATTATCCAGGACACTGAGGAGTTTCAATTTATATGGATTATATCTGCTGGTATTTACCATATTAGAAATTAAAACAAAAAGTCAAATACTTATCAATACATTTAAAAACAACAAACCCATCATGTTAGTATAAATAACATTTTCAATTTAAAAACGACTACTTTCCCTCCAAATGTAACATTCCTTTACATATTTCTAAATCTTTCATGTCTAGCTTGATAAAGAGGACTGGGTTCTCACATCCACTTCTGCAGTCACTCTTTCTGTAAACTGTCTGGATTAAGTAGGTAAAGATGATCAGGCTTCACACAGTAGGAAAGGGGAGCAACATTCTGAAAGTCTTTTCAGGTAACAATCCTGAAACCCAACAAAAGGTAGTTTCTTGAAGAGTTGCATCTTAGACTCTAAAACCGTACCAATAAAATCTTTCGCACATTGTTACATTAAAACCCACCAGTCCGTCTTGCATTTTTGAAAGGACTTTTACCTATGGTGATTTTGAAACATCATGCACTGATGTGGGGGGGGGGGTTGTGCGTGGATTAACTGAGCTATACCAGCCTTCCAAATGTGGACACTTTCATCATTCAGGCACACACGTGTCATAACAGTGATGCCATAAGAAGTCTTTTCAGCACTTTTAAACTGTCAAGCTTAACGTGTCAACTTTTTAAAAATTCTAATTTTCACTCTATTTTTTATCATTGGCAACAAACACCATCAGTTGCTTTCCTCGAAGCGACAAGCTGAAGTCAGTCATTCATTTTCAAGAAAACATTCACCAACCATTCAAGACAATCATTACCCAAGGAAAAATGGTATTCCCTGAAACAGACAATACAACGCAATCTGACAAGTATTTTTGTTATGACAATGACCAGACCTTGTTAGGCAGCATAAAAGCTTTACATACACTTCACAGTTGGTCACATATTCTTAAAATCTGTACTCATAAGCAATGAGTTAATAAAATTATTTCGATTGCTTTATCAAGGACATTCTCAAGTAAGTATAGCAGAATGTCCTGCAACTGCCTTGCTTTGTGCTAAGGCGCCACACTAGTTTTTATCCAGCGTTGCTTTTGGACAATCAGCTTTCAAATATCAGTGGTAAAAAATACATAGGGTATTGGTATTATTTTGCTAATAGTTATGACGTCCCCAGTCTTCTTAAAGGGTCTCAAGGGATTCGCCCGGGCCAGGGATCATGCTTTGAGAACTGCTTTCCTAAATGTTATCACTGGCTCAGGGTGGTGGTGGAAACTAACCTGTACAATCTTCCTTCTGGTTCTTTAGTGTCAGATACAACACCAACATAGCTGCTCTGTTATGACTAATCATGGAAAAGGAAAAGGAAATCAAGGGCATGGACCGCTACTTCATTCTGTTTTAAGAATATATTTGAGCACTTTTGGCTAGACCAAGAATTCTCAATATTGGTGGTTATCTTAACTGGTCTCAACTGAGAGCTGTGGTGAAGTGCCCCTTCCCAACGCAAAGTAATCTGAGAATGAAGGCCCCCAGACTGCACTTTAAGCAACGTCCAAGGTACATAAATTTTAATGCACCCCTAAAACCAAGCAGATTGTGCAACGTGGTGGTTCAAACTGACAGTCCAATTCCTAGTCACAGAGGCAAAGGGTCTTGAAATTCAATGCCATTTGCCAAGATACACACCCCCCATCCCCATCGTTCCCCCTTCGTTTAGATGACAAAATTCTTTCTAAAGTAAAAAACTCCATTCGTACAGGGCTTTGAGTTCAGGTGGCAGGTGTCTGACAGAGCAGCGAGGGCTGGTCTAGCCTGCAACGAGCAGACCTGCTGTTTCGAGAGGGCACACCTGTGCATCAATGTCCACCTCGAAAAGGAGCCCGGGCGAAACGACATACAAGACTGTCCTGAGACCTCTACCTGTTTCTGAGCTAAGAATGTCCAGAACAAGAGAGCAGGGAACCGTCCGGCGCTACTGAGAGTTCGAGGAACCCCCGCGTCTGACGGGAGGGCACGGCAGGCTACCTCGAAGCGAGGCGCCAGGCCAGGTGAGCCCCGGGCATCCCTCCTGGTCCGCAGGTGCTAGGAACGTAGGGGAAATAGTCCCCGGGAGAAACATGGCGCCCAGCGCGGCAGGATATAGCCACCAGAAAATAACAGTTTTCCGCCGCGACCCATTTTACAAATCACGGCGCCATCCTAAAACGTGAGCGCCGAGGGAGGAGACTTCGCCAAGGCGCTGCGGCGCGGCGCGGCCGGGGCCGTGCCGCTGGCCCCGGCGGCGGTTACATAACGCCGGGCGGCCGCTCAGCCATCACTCATTTCCCGGCCCGCGCTCAAAAAGAGCGCCCCGCTCCTTCCCGGGCGCGGCGGGGTGGGGGCGGGGAGCGCCGGCCCGGCCCCCCCACCCCGGGGGACGTCCCCCCGCCCGCCCTCCCTCCTCCCGGCGCGGCCTCGCCCCTCGCCCGCCGCGCCCCGCCGTCGCGCCGCCGCCCGCACCCCCGCCCCTTCCCAGCGGGCCGCCGCCGCCCGCGCCCGCCCACTCCTCCGAGACGCCTCGCGCCGGCCGTGCGTGTGAACGTCGGGTGTGTGCGGGGCCGTGGGGCGCGAGTGCGCGCGCGCGCGCCGCGGCGGGCGCCAGGGGGCGGGGGCGGCGGCAGCAGGCAGGGGCCTCCCAGGCCCGGCCGGGCCCGCCGCGCGACTCCCGCGGCCCCGGGGCGCACGCACACATCCCCGCGCGCACACGCACGCGCGCCGCGACCCACGCCCGCCGCCGCCGACCGCGCCGCCACTCGCGGGGGGCGGGGGCGCGCGCCACCGGGCCCCCGCCCCCACCCCTCGCGTACCCGCCCCATCCCCCTCTCATTGTCTGGCCTCGGAACGCCTCGCCGAGCGAAAAGATAACGGAACCCCCGGGAGAAGGGGGTGGGGAGAGAAGGCTCGCTCGCTCACTCACCTCCCGTGGTCGTCGCCGCCGGTAGTCTGACCCGAGGAAGGCGCCGTCGCCTTAAAGGGACCTTGCACCCGGCGCCGGGAGAAGGGGGTGGGAGCAGGGGAGGGGACGGGGGCTTGGGGGGAGACGGAGGAGAGGGAACCGTTTGAAAGCTCGTCTCCCCGAGGGTGAAAGGAAACCTCCCTCGGGTTCGAGTGATTTGAGGTGGATTTTTTCCCGAGGGGGGCGGGGGGGCCCCGAGGGAGGGGGGTGGGGGGGCCAAGGAATGCGGCTCCGTGTACGGGAGCTGGCGCGGGGGAGAGAGACGCCGACTCCCCCCACCGACCCTCTCGCCCCGCGGAGGGATACGGCTCGTCATTTCCGCCCTCCCCCTTTCGGAGCCTTGCGATTGGTTGGCGGGAGTGCGACGTCACGGGCTCATCCTAACCCCTGCCCGGGCTTCTTTTCTAGTCAAGTTTGTCCGGGCCTGCAAATAAATAAATAAAGGAAAACATTTTTTTAATGAAAAAAAGAACAATTAGCTTCTGAAGTAGTATCTAAATTTTGATGAGAAAAATGGGATTTCCAAAGACTAGTTCCCAATTCTCTTGCCTGGTCTTTGCAGGGAGATTTTGGGAATCTCTCCACTTTGCACTCAAGATTTGTGTCTTGATCCAAAGGGAACCTCATGCCACAGGCCAGATGGCGAGACCCAATGGCACCAACAACTGTCATTGGAACAAAGGCAGCAAAATGGCACATACTCTTCCTCAAGAGAAACTGAGCCCAGTGGCCTGATGGTAGTGGTCTTAACTTTAAAAAGGCCACTTGGACCCTGAACCCTTTTGGATTCGGGAAAGAAGTCACCTTATTGCTTGTCAAAGTCATTCTTGTATAGAAACTGCTTTGAGAAAAGGGTGAATAGACTCAACAGAGATCGTCAACGGTGAGAAACCATAAACTGCACATCCATCCTTTTTGCTCCAAGGCTGAGCTGGATTGACCCAAAGAAATGGATCCGCCCATTCAAGACCACTCACCTGTCATGAACCACTTTTCCAGGTAGCTAAGAAATGTTGTGCTTTGTTGCTTTCTGAGAGGATGATGAAATCTTAATATTTTCCTTGGCTATTGGAGAAATTTTTTGGCTTATTAAGCAATACACAAACATTTGCTCCAAACCAAGTGCTGAATCGAAGTACTTTGTACAAGATTGAGGTGATCGTGACCATATTTATTCCTTTTTTTTTAAGATTTTTATTTATATAAGAATTGGGGTACAGACCATACGCACAGGGGATGAGAGGATTCACCAGAGACAGAGCGGGGAGCAGAACAGGCAGACGGACCGAAGACACTGCTGAGGAGAGCAGCAGGCGAGACAGGAGAGGTCTGCCCCACCATGTAGGAATCTCCCTGGCCCAACGGAAATCGAGCCCGTGCAGCAGAGGCTGCAGACAGCTTCACAGCGCTGTGCTCAACCCGCTATGCCACCGGGAGACCCCTATTCCTTCTTTTTATGTACACATTCCATTCAAACCGCCAAACTATGAAAATACACAGAGGAAGTCAGAATTCCAAATTATGCATATACACATCCATACACTGTGCTACCACCCATTTTCATTCTGCATCATCCCATTCCATACCCAAAATGTGAGTGATTTCAATTAGGTTTTCTAAGGAAGAACTTCATTAAACTAAAAGAATGACTAATCCTTCTGAAAATACTCCTGAAGTCTTTCTAGCCCTTATCTGGAAAAGTCCATGATAGAATTATGGCATCAGTCACCAAAAGACAAACCCTACATGAATATCTAATCCTATTTTATGCTTTCCTAACATAATTATTGTAATTCAATATAATGTATTTGACTCTGAAATGCTCTTATTGAAATACAATTTTTCATTACCTGAGTGCCAACTTACGACCCCTACCAATGAGGTGTAGTCAAGAGATTGCACTGTACACTGTTGACCAATACACATCATCCATTTCATAACATACTGAAAATGAATCCTATGTCCATCCATTCATTCAACAAATATTTGTTTAGTGCTTGCTATATGCCAGATACTGGGGCTTTAGCAACAACAACAACAACAAAATCCCTGGACTCATGAAACTTGGAGTCTAGTGGGGAGAAATAGACAATAAACATATAAGCAATTGTTCCAATATCTATTGTTGAATAGCAGATGGCCCCAAAACTCAGTGGCTTAGAACAACAACTTTTTTATTATCTCTAATGACTCTGGAAGATGATTAGACTAAACTAAGCAGATCTCACTCAGAGTCTCTAAAGAAGTGACAGGGGCTGAATCATCTCAAAAGCTTCCTCATAGGTTTGAAAAATGATAATGATCATTGGCCAGAACAGCTTGGCTGTTGGCCTCTCCACATGGCCTGGGCTTCCTCAAATCATAGCGGCTGAGTACAAAGATTTAGTAACCCCTCACCCCTGATAACCAGGCAGAGGTGTGTGGCTTTTTGTGACCCAGCCAAATAGCATCACCTACTTCACAGTTCCATCACCTTGATTCCAGGTGGGTGTTGAACACTTTTCAAAGGGAGGTGTAGGAACATTTCACTGTAAGAAAAGTATGAAGAATGGGAAATCTTGTGACCATCTTGGAAAATACAACCTGCCATACAGTATATAAATAAATGTCTAATAAGTGGTATGGTGATAGGTGCTGTGACTGGGGAAAGGTCACAAGAGGGGAAGTTGGGAATGTGGTGCAGGAAGTTGTTATTTTAAGGGGAGTGGTTGGGGAAGGCTTCATCATTAAGGTGATATTTGCCCAAAGACTCGAAGAAAGTCAAGCCAAATTCAGGTTTTACTCTTAACAAAAGTGAAATCATTGAAGGATTTTTAAGCTGAAGAATGACATCATCTGATGTATGTTTTTAAAGGATTGCTCTGGCTGCTTGTGGAGAATAACTGGTGAGGGCAAAGGCAGACACACAAGGAGAACAGTTGGGAAGCTATTGCAGTAATTTTGTTGAGAGAGCCTGGTGGCCTGGACCGGGGTGGGAGTTATGGAGTTCACTAGTTCAGCTGAGTGAGCTCTGTGGGGTGATGCTTACTTCTCTGTGGCCTATAATTTATCTTGTGCTCTGGGGGACAGTTTTAACCCCTAGTGGCTAACGAAAATGTGTGACTGCTGGTGCTATGCCGGCTGCAAAGAAATAAAAAAAGAATATGGTGCTGAATGTTAAACTGGGAGTTTCGCAGAAGCTTCGAGAAAGAGTTCAGGAAACAAGAATAAAGACCAACAGAGAATCAGGGGATGGAGTAAGTTCTTTGACATTTTAAAAGTGTCCCATCTATGCCACAGTCTGGGAGGATTCAGCAACAGCTGAATGTTGGCTGGGAGAAATCAGGGGTGGAGACATTTTCAAATATATATAAAATCCTCTTTAGAGGATTTGAAGAAAACTCTACCACCTTGGGACAGTGGAGCAGCATCTCAAATAAGACTATGAAGTTAGCACTCCCGTTTCCAGACGCGTACTCCTTGTGCTGAGGAGGAAATGCCCACAGTAATTTGGACAGTGTTGGAACATTATGCTCTCATCAGCCAACACACAGCTTCCTGCATTGAATAGCTGCAGTCTCTGTATTTGAACCATCTTGAAAATAATGAGAAGCAAAAGCAGCAGAACAGATAACCTGGTTCAAATTCTTAGAAATAAATTCACATGTGCTTCTATAACACATTGGAGAGGGATCTGAAAGTCAATCCAGTTGGTTATTTTGAAGAAATTGGGCGCTGATGTTGGTCTTCGTAACTAACTTAGAAAAATGGAATCCT